CAATTATGCTTTTAAACTTCTTTTGTTAAAGTGAAGTTGAATACGAAAAGTGTTTTCATAGTGCGTGACAAGGACTAAACGAGTTTTACTTAAAACTTATCAATACATAATATTTCATATTGCGAGACTATGCTCCGGTGTTTAAGGTAAATAAATTAATAAATACGAACTCATTGTGAATGTTTAAAAACCGAATATCCATTAAATCAATTACAAAAGAAACTAATCGTAGTGATCGAAATTGATTGATAAACAAACTAAAGGACCAAGATCCAAAACACATTTGGCTTCCTACCAACTTATTATTTTTAGGTTGATTTGATAATTCAATCAAGGTAACTGATAGATATGTATTTTCAAATGATTTTGAATCATACAATTGTTTTAGCACAACACTTTTCATCCATATCATGAGATTTCAATATACACAAGTTTCATTTTCCACATCTTAGTCAATTTTTTTTTTAAATATTAGAAAACTTTCTATAAGGTTTCATATATTTTACATCATAAATATTATAAATGAAAAATTATGTTACAGGTTATTTAAATAAATAAAATGAAAGATTGTTGGTTTTGATGAATATTTGAAAAGCGTTCTACTTATTTGAGCTCGATAGAAAACGAAACTTGTCGAAATGCATATTGATTGATTATTGAAATTTGTATACGTGTTTCTATAGCTTTATGTCGTAAAAAATTAAATAAACAAATGGAAAAGCTAAAGTTGGGTGCGACGACTTGAGATTACATATATGGCTATAACTTCTTTTAAAATCGGTCTATGATAATGAAACTTGGCATACAGACTCTTAATCACTAACTAGAAGTATTTGCCAAATACTGAAATTTATGGAAAATGGGGAGGGAGGAACATTCTGAAATGTATTTTCCGCGTATTGAAAAAAAAATTCGGTGTCTCCGAGATATATGTGATTATACGAACGGCATTACTGCAAAATTATTACTATTAACAGAGAAGTGTTGGGGAGAGGGGTGTATCAAAAAAATAAAATAAACTCGTATACACATAGGGCATCTGCGTGTAACATTTTGGTTTCTCTATCTCTTATAGTCTGTGATATACGAACGGACGGACAGACGGATTCGTCTTGTCATGCTGATCAGGAATATATACATATACTTTGTGGGGTCTGCCACGAGATTACATTTGAGCTTCGTTCAGAATTACACTACAACGATGAATCATGACATGATGATACATAAGCACTAACTAGATGTATTTGTAAATTCAGCAACAAATATCAAGAACAATATGAGCTGGGGAGTAGGGGACTGCTTTGGAAAAAACATAAGTTTCATCTGCCTAGATATTTGAGATAAATTAATACCACAATTGCTTAATCTGGCTACATGGCTAAATCGAATCGTCTTGTCATACTGATCAAGAATATATGTGCTTCGTGGGGTCAGAGGTGTGATCTGTGCGTTACATACAGTTGCACTAAATTAAAATCATAATATGTACTCGCTGGGCATAGAGTAAAAATATAATTGGATTCTGAATATATTATTCAATGAAATGAAATTAGTAACACCGTATTATCTGCCGCTTAGTAAGCCAAGGTATATTTTTGTGATAGAGAATGTGAGTCATTTTGCGATGTGGCAGCAAGACTACACACTTTAAAAATCAAACAAACCGATCAAGTACCGGCATGGGCCATCAAATAACGTACGAAAAACCCCGGCAGAAGTTTACGAAAAGAAAAAATGATGGACCAGATCCTTCTCCTGCTAAAAATCTTAAGGGGTGCCATCAAGCGTTCGATGACATTTAAGTGGCTGTTTGCTTACCTTTAAGTCAGACTCTAGCATGGGCAATGTTAGAAAACAAAAGTGACCAAAATAAGATTTTCTATAATTAACTGCAAGAGTATGCCATGAATTCGGCTTTCGAAACCAGTTTTCTGGCTGACAGAGTCATTTAATTAATTGTGGGCATGTGGTATTGTTATTGATTTATTGACGTTGCCAATACCCTCGTTTTAGACATAGAAATCAGGCAGTTCAGCTCAAGAGATAATTAAAACTTCAAGCATCTTTACCAACACACGAACGTCCTTAAGCTATGTGGGGCGCCACGACCGATCCACCAGCAAGGGCCTAGGGTCTGTAACTGAGGCGGATCTGATTGGCCTACAAATTACTTACAGCTCCAATAAAAACAAAGGTGAACTGCTGCGCTTACACAAACTCGGATTTACCATTTCAAAATTGAGACTCTTCAAACATTTCAATTTGTCAGTTGCTATTTGAAGTTCAAGAAATCATTCAAAATGATTTAATGAGTTTTGCCATTCTCTTTTACACATTAATGCAGAAGTGCTGTGCTGTTATCAACATATTCTCTATACCATCCGTGCTTGAAAAACAATGAGAAGTACAACTTCTGTAGTTGTAGTCAAATTATTTGAAACACATGCTGAAGATGATGCTGCTGATTTCGAATGTTAAGCGACGCTTCCTCATTGTTGGCGGCAGCATTACAATTTCTGTGGCTTTTGTTGTGGTTGCTGTAAATATGTAGTATTACTTGTATTGTTTGGATGTTTGCTGCCGCTATTGATCTTGATATTGACCCTGAAAATGTCGAACGAAATCATCATTTGTTATAATTCAGATATATTCTTTGCCTTTTCAACCGCTGCAGACAATTACAATTGCCCTCGGGTGCGCTTTAAATTAAGCAAAAGCCATTTTTCATACACTTCGTGAAAATGCATTCCAATGAGAAATTTACATACGTCATACATACATATGTACATATGTATATGCTACATGGTTTGTAGGAGAGACTTCACAAACGCACATCATTAAAATTCCATTAGATGTCTCTTAAGTATTAATTATCAAAATTATATAGAATTAGTATATTTGCAGTTTGTTGACATGCTGTTAGCTAACAAAAAGCTAATATATGGGTACATATAGCATATAGAATACATACGAGCATTTTCATGTATGTGAAGCTGAAGGTTACTGACATATCGCGTAAATTATTTCAAAATGGAAGGAGCTTCAAACATCGAGTCGGGCACCACTATTCGGTCAATAATCCAATTTTGTCATAAAGATATTTTGATTCAATGATGTTCCAAGTTAAATTCCGATGCTTTGAAGATAGACTTTTAGTTATCCAATTAATTTAATCAATTTAATCAATATCAAAGCAATTTCTTCTTTTATGTACATAGTTGGAAGTATAAATAAAAGAAATTGAATTGTATATGAATTTTTCTTTTGAAAACCCAAATTATTGGTACAATTAAGCTGTAAAGCAAGTATAAATATTTAATAAAACATTGATAAATAAGTCGATATAAGTAAACAAATGAATGACTATTAGGTTATGACACATAAAAAAGGTGATAAACAAAAGAATAATTCAAATTTAAAACTCCTCGTTTATATATTTTTACGAAAATATAAATATGTTGGAATTTTATGAAGCTTAAAACAAAATTAATATGAGCCTGAAGTTTTTTTTTGGGTTTTCATTTAGATTTGAAATAAAACTTACCGTTTAGGTGGCTATATCTACTCGTATATGAATTTTATTTGTGACACTAAGCTACGGCTTACAACTTTTCAGCATGACATGCAGCTACTATACATCACACATCTCGATTTTATAAAATTTGGGGTACAGACTATAACAATCACACAATTAAGGCGTGACTAAAAGCATCAATAAATTGTTACAGAAATGGCCCATCAACACAATTGCTAAGTGCAAAGAAATAAAAATAATTCAAATGCTTGCCAAATAATAAGCCTCAATTATAATTATTTTATGATGTTTACATCATCAGTCATTATACGAACGAATTGAAGATTTGCATGCATGCGGCATTATATAATTGATTATGTTATCAAAATTTGGCATCGACAGTTAAAATTGGAAAATAATTGAGTATATGTTGTTTATTTATTTCGCTGGCTTTGATTCGCTTTTACTCCAGCAAAAATAATATATACCCGTATACCAGGTTGAGTTTGCATATTTTGCCAATATTGTTGCATGCTTTGTGGATTATTCAATATTTGTTGTGAAGCGTTTTATGAAGTGTTTGCAATAGTATATGAAAACAAAACAAAAACCAACCCACCATTTCTTCATTTAATTTGCATAAAAATATGCGTGCACTCCCATCTGTCATGAGCTGCACTCGAATCTATGGGTGTCGGGCACTTGCCACCGCAGCACTCAATTGCTAACATTCTTTTGTACCCTTGTCGGTTAATATAGCGGTGGTTACTGACAAGCACATTGCAGAAAACATGCGAAGTGGTTGTCCGCTTTTGGCAAGTTCGTGTCTTAAGTCTTTTGTTTGCTTTTGGCAAATCAAGTGAGATCCGTTATTAAATAAATTATTATAGAAAAATAGCCGACAATTCGCTAAATATATAACACTATACGCTGTCAGCACATATAATTTTAAAAGCTGATGGCCTGTCAATAACAGCTGCTGAACTCAGCTGCCGCCTGCCTCTGTATAGTAACGACTCTAGAATATTTGTGTGCTTCCTTTACTTTTTCAACTGAACATCACACTTTAATTGATAATCTACTGACTCGAGCACTATTATATAAGCATTGAAAGCGCTGAGTCTGTGTGCTTAAGACATTTTTGATTATTTTCAATTAGCCGCATTCCAATGAAATCGAATTTAGTGCTTTTTCTTGCTGTCAATTAAAATAATTTAGTTTCTAAATTTTGCGTAGGTCTATCTGCTAAGCAACAAAAAGACACATTTTTATCAGTCTCTTAAACAAACTTCAGGCAAGTTCTTATGTAACATGGAAACAAAGCTTCGGCCTATGCAACGCATTAATAATTAAATTAAATGTCACCATCAATTTGGCCATAAATATTTATAAAACGAAGCATTAAATCAGATGGAAACTGGAGCAAATATTTCAAGGTTGTACGACCTAGGCCTGATCACTTCCTTTTATTGCAGTTGCTCGAAACATGAAGCTCGATTTCTATGAGTTGAGGCAAAGCACGCGCTCACTTGTGTGAGTTACGCTGGGCACGAGTGCGTAGTTTTATATGGCAACCAAAAAAGCAACAAATGACGAATTCATTGAGAGCGACCCACGCCTGCCTGTCTAGTTGGTTGACAGTGCCGCGTATAAGTCTATGTATAGCTCTATTTGGTATTTGTTTGAGTTTATAAATTAGCTCCGAAGAAGACCTAAATGTGTAACAACTATATCGCTATTCATATTGATTTGTTTCGGTTACGTGAGAAATGCATAAGAGCGGAGCCCGGTCCGATAGAAGGGCGAAGGCGAGTAGAGGGGCATGTGTATGCTGAGTAGGTATGCTAATTTACCGGCAGTTGCTCTGTGGCTCGTCTGATAGCTTTTGTATTTATATGCAAAGTTTTCAACACCGCGGTCATTTAATCAATGAATATTTATCTATTCATAATTTATCAATCAGTCCAATGCATAATATTTTGTAATACGGAACGCTTTGAAATGGCACAATATGTGGAATATTAAATAAGTTAAACACTTTTGCTTTCAGCATGCGAGCGCCAAAAATGAAAATTTTGCTACTTGTTATGTTCGTGGGAGGCCTGCTAGGCGTTGGAGCTCAGGACAATTTCGAGGATGCTGACAAATCCAATGAGTACACGGACCAGGAGTTCGACTTGCGACACACTATCCCAGGCGAGCCAGGCGTGGACTACCCAATTCTGAGCACCGTTCCCAAGACCAGTTTTGTATGTCAAGGACGTCACGAAGGTAGGCGATGTGTGAAATCTGTCGCTATTTAAACAGCAATAGATATAAAACTTGTTTTTTAGAATTATCAGCTATATAATTAGGAACAAGAAAGTCTGAGGCCGACCGGCTTAAACGGTTAGCTTTTAAATGCTTATTTAAATAAAAATACGTGTATTATTTACACTAATCAGAAAATTAAGCAATCAAACAATTTCTTTTAAACCCCATCTCTGCTGTGATGGTTATACCCTCAGTATAATGACATAATTTGAAAACCGTTCCCATATGAGGTCAATCTAATGTTTAAGAATGGCTTGAACATTGAAAAATGATGTAAGGGAAATTTTGGGGCTCAGACATTCGTAATCGAAATTAATCTTAAGTTTTATGCTCTACCTTTAGGTTACTATGCGGACGTGGAGAGCCGTTGTCAGGCTTTTCGAATTTGCGCTCACACCGCACGTTCGGCGCAGGGCTTTGGTTTTCTCTGTCCGAATGGAACGCTTTTCAGTCAGAAGCATTTCGTATGCGATTGGTATCGCAATGTTAACTGCGATGAATCGGAGCAGTACTATGAAAAGAATATGGAAAGCACAGTCGGCAGCACACATGACATGATGGAGCGAGTGCGCCAAATGATGGAGTATCCTATGAAAACCATAACCAAGGCATTGCAGCAGGGGCAAGGGGAGGCGCCTATTTTGCAGTCGAAGCGCATTCATCAGTCGCTCAGTAAGGACTTGTCCCATGAAAGTGGAGTGCTAAGCAAGCCTGCGGCTGTAAAGCCCATTTCGGTTGATCAAGTTCAGGTGACATCGGATGAGAAATCGGCGCGCGGTGAGGCTGTAAAGAGCGAACCGTTAAGCATCACATCCGAAGGCGATGACATCTATGTGAACAGCCTGGGCGAGCTGTCCTCTGATCCTGGCATCAATTTCGATCACACTAATGCACACATCATCGCCGAATATCCGCGTGAGTATCACTATAAAAAGCAGATGAACTTCGCGGAGCGCGTCAATTCAGGCTTAAACGAGCTGAGCGATTTGTCTAGCAACGGAAATGAGAATGAGGTTCTGGCACCGGAGTACATTAAGCAAATACGCAATACCAACGAGGAGGCCACCCAGCTAGATTTGGTATCAAACATCAATAATCTGCTTGATGAAGTTTCTACAGATTTGGATCCAAGTGTTTCGGGATATCAGGCAATGGCGCCACAAAAGGTGAAGCAACCTTTTAGGTTTCTGAGTCGCGGATTTGCCACGCAGGGCAAGGGAACTACATCGTATGTGTATAATAGGCCAAAGCAGACGGAAAGTACGGTGAGATTTACGGTAAGTACATCAGTATGTTGAATGCTAGCAGATTATTAAAAATTTAGCTTATTGTTTGCCTTTTCAAATCGAAAGAGCTATAATGTTCCATTCGCAGTAGCCGCTATGTTTTTTTTATATAATACTTGTAAGCTAAGCAGCTAAAACGAATTGAACGAACTAAGATTCCCAGTGAGCAGACATTAAGCTAAACTTGCAACATCATTTTCTACTCTACTTGTATTTCTGTTTCTATCTATGCTTCTAACTTGTTATCTATCTCTGTGCTTAACTGTCTGTACTCCACTATCCACACCACTATTGTCACACCTTCTGCCAACCCATACAATTCAACACATAAACAAACAACACATAAACACTGCAGCCAAATGAAATACCTATTGATACACACAAAGATTCCGGCCACAAGCTAAAGCTTGGTGAAGACAAATCCTCCACAACCAGTACAACGGAAGCAGCCCCGCACGATGATGAATATGTGGGCGAATATTTATTAATAGCACCCACATTATCTCCAGCCGATGAAGCCGAGGCTGTGGCATTTCAAATAACAACAACACCAACACCTGAACCTGACTTAACAGATGCTACGCCAGAAATCTCAACTACAATAGCAACAAACTCAGTGGTGGCGGTGCCTCTAGGACTGTTGGAGCCGCCGATCTTGCCCAGCACTGACGATATCAACGAATTTCCCGCCATAGAATCCATAGGCCAAGCCGCAGCTTTGACAGCGGCCATACCAGAGGAAGGCGTCATTGGCTCGCAAGCTAAGGGCGTTGAGTTAAATGATCAGTCGGAAAAAGTGGATGTTAATCAGCAAGCGGAAAAATTGTTGCTGGCTGGAGTTAAGTTAACTTCTCACGACGGCGAGACAAATAATTTAAGTGCTGATGCAACGACAATTCCTGTTGTGGCAGCGATCAGCAGCACGCCAGCCATGAGCACCTCAACAGAAACGGTTACGGAAATCAGCAGCACGCAGGAGCGAATTCGTGGCTATCGACGTAACTCGCAGAAACAACGAGCAGGCGAAGCAGCAACGCTGAAGAGACAGCACCATTCACAGCTCTACGAGCGCCGCACTAATTTGCGACCCCTGGTTCGCAGCACGACACCACGCAGCACTACACCACGCACCACCACAACAACAACAACAAGTGTGGGCACAACACTAAAGCCCACACGCAGCTATTTGGAGCGCTTGGCTGCCAGTCGCCTGCGTTTGTCGCGCCTATCGGCTGCCACAAGACACACAACATCATCAACAAGCACAACAACGTCAACATCAACTCCAAGTTCAACATCAACTACAACAACAACCACACCCTCACCATTGGCACATGTTAGAGGCGGAGCTGACTCGGGTCCCAATAAGAAGCTCACCGTACGCAATATTGAAAAGGACACAAGTTCTGTTAATCTATTGCAAAGCAGCGACTCCAAGGCCACCTGGGAAAGTGTTCATAGCAATTTACAACGGTTCCAGGTGCAGCGAGGCAATCGCGTCTATACGCCTGCCACACGTTCCACGCCTGCTAGTAATACCACGCCCACTACAATTCAGCACGCAAGTAGATCTACGACTGAGGCGACGCCCGTCCGCAGCAGCGCCAACCGAGGTCGCAATCGCTACAACAGCTACAAGACGCAAGTACAACGTACCCGTGGCACCACCACTCCACGCACCACTAGCAGAACGACAGCAGCAACAACAACAACCACACCAGTAACACCCCAACGAACAACGCCCACAGCATTGTCAACGCTGGCGCAGCAAATTTCAGCTTTAGCATCCAACTACAATCATGGCTATAGCTACACGGCCACGTCAGTCACGCAGGCGCCCAGAAGGCAGCCAAATGCAGCCCAAATCAATAATAGCAACAACATCCACATCAATGACAACACACACAACACACCAGCACAAACATTCGCAGCTCCCATAGTGAGCGGCACTCAAGACTCATCCTCCGCTTTCCTTCCCTTTGATAAGTTAACGCGTGCCATTGTTGACGATTCCAACTTGCAGAATTTTAAAGTAACCCACACCAAGGCAACCCCATCACGCGGTCCTTCAACGTACCAAGCTGGCAGACCGCAGCAGCGTGTGGCGAAGCCATCAGTGGACAGAATTGCAGCGGCAACGGTGACCAACAGCTACAGTTATCTGAAGCCCGTAGCACCAGGTAAGGCGAATTCACTAGCCGTGGCTATCAAACCGTACAACTAAGATTCTGTTTACTTTATAGTCGCAGCAGAAGTTCCTCAAGTTAAGCCACCGGGCATCGTAATTGCCCGCGCCGAGGGTCAACGCATTCAGCCCAATTCGGTCAGCAACGTTATATCGTCCCTGGTTAGACAGCCACAGGTGAAGGTCACGCAGAGCAGCTCGTATGTGTCTCTCAACGACTTCCTAAACAATAAATTCAGAGATGCAGGTGCAGCAGCAACATTACAGCAGCAGCAGCAGCAGCAACACCAACAGCAACAGCAGCAACACCAACAGCAACAGCAGCAACACCAACAGCTACAGCAACAGCAGCCACTGCAGCAGCAGCAACAACAACAGTTAAGTTTTATAGCTCAGCAATATCAACAGAAACACATCGTGCTGCCGCAGCAGCAGTCGCAACAACAATTAGTACAGCAGCAGCAGCAGCAGCAGCACCAACAGCAATTTGTTCAGCAGCAGAAGCAACAGTTAGTACAGCAGCAACAGCAACATCAATTATTGCAACAGCAGCAACAAATACAAGTAGTGCAGCAACAGAAACAGCATCCACAACAGCAGCAGACTTACTACCACACGCCCCAACAAACATATGTGCAGCAACCACAATACCAGGAGCAGCAACATCAGCAATATTTCCATCAGGCTCAGCAGCGGCCGACGATACAATCGATTCAACAGCCCTATTTAACGCCAAACATTTTTGTGCCTTATCAACAGCAACAGCAACTATTGCCACAGTTTCCACCGCTGACACAGGTAGCAGCTGAGCCAGCAACATATTCGGTGATCGGTAACTCCCGAACCCAAAACACTGATCGTCATCTGAATGTGCAGCTGCCGGCATTAGCGAATGGACTGATCCCGGCACCCACACTCCAGGTGGCTCAGAGACGCAGCGATCCAAACATCGCCCAATTGAAGTTGGGAAGCAGGGCAGATAAGGGTCGTGAAACCGATTTCTACCGTGGCGCCACTTCTTACGAAGTCGCCCAAAACAGTGTCGGTCGACTGCCCAACGATATTACGCATCAGATGCGACGACGTGTACGCCATTATTGAGCCGCTCTCAATGAGATTATTCCTAGCTAATTTATTTATCCGTCTAAGTTAAGTTAGAAATGTGTACCGTTTAAAATCGTTGTACAATATTTAAGCATTCTAAATAGTCTCATTGTTCAAATTCATAACTTCTGTACCTCTTCCATATTTATTTAAATAAAAAAATATGATTACAAAAAGCTACCTTTGGAAATCATTTGTTTATTTTTATTTTTGATATGCTAAAATGTTTTTGTAAGAATATATACATTCTAAAACTGTAAATGTGGGATCAGCAGCTTTCAATTTTACTAAATATATGTTTTGTTTTGAAAGCCGTTCGTTCATTGTATTATCCTTTGAGAATGTATTATTCTTTAGAATGTCTGCTACATAGTAGTCCGATTTGGTCCAAATACTTAGATATGTTCACGGTGATGATACTACAAGTATATTATGTTAAACGCATAACATAACAGGAACGGACAGGGCGAAAGTATTTTACCTATTCTTCGAGTCTTGCCGATCATCTATGTGTCAATAACATAACGCCTCCTTTTCGTTTTCGTAATTTTCATTTCCCAACTAATTTGCATTCAAAAAAGGTTCACCGAATAACTTGCCGGTAATAGTAATGGTATAATCCATACCCAGCAAATAATGGCAACTACATAGGACTGGTTTTTCTATAGCTTTTTAATATTTTATATTTTAGAATTAAAATTATTTTCAATACGTACAATGCCTATAAATAAATACAATACAAGGTTTTACATGTAAATGTAGTCATAGTCATTATTGTAATTGTTAGTTACATTAATTGTTTATTGTTTTACAATATTACATTTTAAATAGTTTACGAATGTTTTAATTAGTGTCAAACATTTTCTATTTATGCATAGTTGCTTATTTCAGTTAATGCTGTGCACATTGCGTTTCTATAATTTTTCTCATATGTTATGCATATTTTTGGATATTAAGTGTTATGGCATGGAGTATTTGTTTATACACACACAAATTGAACTAAAAGAAAATGAAATTTTGGTCGAGAAGAAAAATAATGTGATGCTGTGAAAACTAATGGGACGGGCTAAGCAAATGAGCAAGCTAATTAAACCATTGGGGCATTTAATTTGTTGTAACTTTGCTGCTACCTACGATTAATATCTAATAATTGTTGATCAATTAAAGGCGTAAATAATCTTGTTTGACATTTAAAAACAAACACAAAAATAATAAAAACAAAACGTCAGCACTTAAATGTTCCGCAGCTAGTTTATACAAAATATTAATATTACTTTAAAATGCAATGTGCGCGCACTTCGGCTGCAGTAGCTATAGCTTTGGGAGAATTCCCATTATTCCTTGGCCATTTCAAATTATTTACAGTGCAGATATATTAAGGAAATATTCTAAAGTAACAACCACAAATGAAAGTGCAAACACTGAAGTCTTAACATAAAGTAACATTACATATGTGCTTAAGTGTATTGCCCTAAATAACTAACGCATTCTAACTGATTAACTCTCGTGTGTACACTGTACAGCGAAACGGACAAAGAAACATACACTTGGCACGCTCAACGTTTAATGGCCAGACAATTGTGCAGGCGCACTCGCACTCAGGGAAGCGAATTGACATTAAGCGCCGTAGACGCCAGAGGAGCGGCGGAAACTAACGCTGGTGTAGCTGGTGTCGTTCTTAGAGACACCATTTCTGTTGTTGTTCCTGTCGATGGTGGCGGTGCATGTTGTCCACAAAATACCATACGATTCTTTTCGTCGAGACTCCAGTTGGCGGAACGAGCGCAGGGCACGTGAGCTTTCGCCTCACAGGCGCGTTGAAAGCAGCAGACAATGGCACCGGGCTGACAGCACTGAAGGCACTGAGATCGCGAACTATCCCACACCGCTGCATCAAGTCCTTGTAGATGGGCGCCAATAAGCTGTATGTCGCTGACCCATACAGCACAATCCTCATGCAACCACACCTCGTACCCGTGCTCCGAAGTCTTGCACATGCCTCGAAATGTTTCAATAAATTTTGTCTCGTAACTGCAGTCGAGCGGATCCACATCCACTGACGAGCACTGCGATTCATTCTGATCATCGCTGCAGGAATAGGTGTTTTCGAAGGGTTGCTTTCGTTTGCGCTTGTGCTTCAATTTATAATAAATCATTAGTATTAGTTCATGTATGAAATAACTTCTCACTCACCATTGTAATCTTTGGCGCCTGCATGATTTTCGCCAATGTGGCCGCCACCGCGGGCACATTACGTGCATTCGTCTGAACCATGTCGCTACGCATTCGCTTTTTAGCATCGATTTCCTGCGCACCAGGCGCTTGTATTGCCATGCGATATTCCTCGCAATCTACAGAGACTAGATATGGGCCAAAGAGATCACCGAGGCCCATCTTGTGTGGTCCGCGCTTGCAAAACACGCATATCCAACTGGAGTCGGTGGTGTCGGCATCGTAACGGTTGCTTAGCGTTGAAGAGTGCATGCCACGAACATTTTTGCGTTCGTGCGGTGCCTTTTTTACTTTCGTCTGTTTATCGTTGACGTCTTCGGATGTATGTGCGTTCTTTATGACGATACTACCATCGGGCTTGATAAGTATGTATGGGGATTTTAGTTTCTGCTCGGATGAGCCATTGCTCTCTTTGCTAGGTGCTGGTGTACTATCCTCATCCGTTGTTGGAGGCTTGCGACCACCAATTTGTTTCTTCTGCTTGGCATTTTTGGCATTGTTCTTAGCATTTTTCGTTGAAGCACCCGCACTTTTGGCGTTCTTTCCCTTGGCCGTGGCCTTTTTCTTTTTTGAGGGCGGCGTTTTTGTCGACGTGCTTTTTGGATCAAGCAGCACCTGCGAAGCTGCCGCCTCACTGAGCTTGCGCGCTGCTAACGCTGCTGCCGCTGCCGCCGAGGTGCTAGGCTTGTCATCATCACTTTCGTTATGAATTGGCGTTTGCAGATCGGGGGTCCCTGAGCCTTGCAGCTTCTTGCGCGCTCCTGCAGTCTTTTTTGGCTTCGACGGATCGTCTATCATAAAACGCAAAAGCGATGGATCAATGCCCACGGACAGTCGGCGTGGCGGCAAGCGGCGACTAGGCGTAGACTTAAAGTCAGCTGATGGTGGACTCTGTAGCTGCTCTTGTGACTGTGGGGGTGTATCACTACAACTCTGATCAGTGTGTGGGGCTGGCACCGGTGTAGATGTGGAGCGTGCCTCAGGTGTGGGGCTGTGTATGGGACTAGGCATTGTGGACTTCATTGAAGCTTTTGTAGCCATTGGTCGCACCTCTGGCGTAGGCGCTGGCTGCTGCTCTTCTTGAAGTTTTGCAGTCGGTTCAGTTTCCTTTGACTTGCTTTCCTCTGCCTTAGCAGCCCGTACACTGTTTTCTAACGTGAGTTGCGAGCTAAGGTCATTTCTAGCAGCAGCTGCTACCTGCTTTGTTGGTGATATGACGCGAGTTGACTGCTCAGCGGGCTCATCTTCAATGCCGGCAAACATTTCCTCCAACTTGTCCTCCACCTGCCAAGGTAGTAGATGTCATTGTTCAGTTAATTCGGTTAAATAAAATTAAATGCTTACCTCTTCGAAATGGCAAGGTTCACTGCCACCTTCTGAAACCGTTGTCGGAGGGGCCACAACAATAGCGGTTGTTTTTTCCGCGTTCTTGAACAACTCGTCGTCTTCATCATCGTGTACACTTACCACTGGCTTGGTATCGATGTTCCCTTGTTCCACAAGTGCCGGCGAAGCTGGCGTGTCTGTCGTTGCTTTCGTATTATCGCTTTGACTATGGCTGTGGCTACTGTGAGTGCCGCCGCTGGAGCTACTTGAGCTGCTACTACTACTATTACTTTGCGGACTTGGCGGCATAGGCTGTGCCACAGGCTCCTCTTTGGCCGGCAAATCCTGGGATTCATCTTCAGTCTGCCGACGCTGCTGCTCCTTTATGTTCCGCTGCAGTAGCGCCTGTCTTTGTTTCTTAGTCTTGGGCTTGTCATCGTTGTACAGCTGTGCGCTATTACTATTTTCTGAAGTGGCTCCTGGCGTGGACTGAGTATGTGTTGGCATTGGACATCCATTTTCTTGGGCGAGCTCAGTGTCCATCTTATTGTTTTTGTTAGTTGTCTGCAATGCAAACGTATCCAGTTCGGTGCCACCATTATTTGGAGACTTCAGCTGCTGCTGTGCAGGCAGTGATTTGGGACTGCAGCTGTTACTGTTTGTGTTTTGGTTGGACATGCGGGAACGCTTGAGTTGCTCATCCTGCTCCTCGGCGGCAACAGCGGTGGTGGAGATTGTGCCATTGTCGCTCGGCGTCAAACGCATGACTTGACTGGATTTTCGTTTACGTCGTTTACGACTGCTGCTGTTGCTGTTCGATTCCAGCGACTCCTCATTCGATGTGGTCAAGTAAGGCGATTCAGGGGCATCTAAAAGCTGCGAGGCCTTTTCGTTGTCGGCAGATGAGCTCGTCGTCGGCGGTGGCGGCAATGCGGGCACATGTGTGCGATAAGAAGCAGTTGTTGATAAGTCGGTTATGACGGTGTGATCCTCCTCACCCTTCAGATCCTCCCGTGCTGGCATTTCCTTGGGCTTGGGCAAAATGTCGAGATTCGTTAATTGCGAGCTACGGGAATGCAATTGTTGCGGTGCCTGTTGTTGAGGCGATGATTGCTGCTGCTGTTGTGCGTGATACTGTGCGCCTGGTATATGTTGTTGTTGCTGCTGTTGTTGTTGTTGCTGCTGCTGTTGTTGCTGTTGCTGTTGTATTTGTGTGGGCAGGTGCTGATTGTGATGTGGCGCGAAGTGTAAATGATGTTGCTGCTGCTGTTGCTCTTGTTGTGACATATGGTGCGACTGTGGCCCGTAATTTCCAGAATGCAAATGGTGATGCATATGCAATTGATTATAATCCAAACCAGATGATCCATGCGGAGGCCCGTGTGCTGTTGGCGATTGCATTTGATGTGGGGTTTGTTGCATTACTGGCGACTGTGGCGTTGGAGGCGTCTGGGGTCCATTAAACTTCATGCTGTATGATTGCTGCTGCTGTTGATGGTAGTTACGTAGCGGCGACCCTGCGGATAGCAAGAGAATTAGCAATCTTTTTAAAGGTACAACTGATGGGGGACTTACCCTTCTTGTTAGTTGCCACATGTTGCTGCAAGTTGTGAGTGGACAGCTTTCCAGTACTAGCTCCAAAGCTGCAGTCTTTCCCGAGCAGTTCTGGGGGTTTCTGCATGGGCTTGGACTTTAACAAAATACAAGTAAACAATTATAAAAAGTCAGTTTAATACGATAACATACTGCATAATATTTTACACCTAAATCTTTTTCTAAATAAAATAGGCGTTCTTCTTGGATTAAAAAGCCTAATGTAACACGCACCTCGTGTTCAAAGTTGCGCTTTAGTTGCGCCAGCTTGAAGTTCTCATCGCGGTTGGATTGCATGTAATGAACGTTATTATTACTGCTAGCATGATTACTGCTGGGAGCGTTGGCCACCAGACTAGTGGGCGTGGTAGGCGGCGGCGGCAGTAAGGACTCGCAATCGCTTCCATTGGCATTGATGTACTTATTTGGCGGTCCACTGATAGGGGTGGCCGACGACGTGGGTGTGGCTGTGGGCGGCGCATTGCTGGGCAGTAGGCTTGAATGTGCATGCTGCCCAGCAACCATGGCCGCCAGATGCTGTTGCTGTGAGCCAGATGCATTAGACGTCAGATTATGGCTAAAAAACAATTTGACAATATTTTGAATGTTATCAGAGCTGGATAAGTCGAAAACTGGCATTACATCGTTGGGTAGTTGGGCGCATGGAGATGGGAAGTTTGTTGCTGATGCGTATTTGCATGTGATTGCTGCTGCTGCTGTTGTTGCGATTGCTGTTGTTGTTGTTGAGGGGATTGCTGTGTCAAGCCAGACTTGCTGAGTGGCGGAGCAGAGCTGCGACTTGATTGTAGCGACAAATCCATGGAGTCAAATGGCAATGTTCCAGAGACGTATGGCGGTGCTAGAAGTGGATTCATTTGATGATGATGATCCAACTGTAATATATTCAACAATATCTGCATTAGCATTGTAACTGAAAGATAGTTTGGAACAAAACACTTTTAAAATATTAAAACATAATGGTACAGCATAAAGCAAAAGATTTGGACTATTTGGGTGGGAGTGTTGCAAGCTCTACGTTCGGATTTAAGGTAAAACACGCACTCAAGAAATAACAAAACTGACGTACAGATGGAGACAAAAGGGAGTATGATGAAGGCGAGGATATCGTGCATGCTATTTTGAAACTACGCTAATTACGTTTTTATGATTGGCCGACATGAAATTGTAAATGGCATCTGGCGGCGGCTGTGCGGACGCATGCCAGGCCAGCGGGGAGCGCACCATGGGCCGTTCGTTGGACATGTGCGCCAATTGCGGTTGTCGCGGTATATACGATGGTATCTGCAGATGGATGGCAGCATTGTAAAATAAAAAAAAAAACAACAATAACACCACAGCTCATTAGGATGCAGAGCAATGTGAACGTACTTCAATGGCCTAACCGGCATTTACTTACTTGCAGGGGATTCCATGAAGGATTCTGTGCAGCTTGGCTTAAATGACCGTGTGGATGATTGTTATTGGACATTGTCCTTGGGTACTTTTAGTGAGTGAAAATTATCTAAATTAAATGCGGTTTTGTGATTTGCTTTCAAGCATTGACCTGAGATCATTCAACTCTGAACGAATTTACCAGAATTAGAAGCATAACTTAACAAAAATCAATCTGCGTCCGGCGTTTTCAGAAACAAACAGGACAACTCAGTATGACGAAGCCGGTAGTACCCAGAAATTGTGTCCAAGTAAATTTCGTGTAATTAACGCGCGGCAATTTAGCCACAGCAAATTGCTCGCCAAGCAAAAATGGGCCAAACACCAGTAAGTCTAGTAAGGCCCATTAGGTGCATGAGGACTTGCCTAACTTCTTAAGCCGACTTGCGCGTCTGCTTAGCAAGCAACTACCTTAGTACAATATCGACATAATTATTATTACGTTGCTTGCTTGCTAGTCTTACTGTTTTTCACGTATAAACAATTCCTCACGCACTTTTTTCACACCACCCACTTACAAAAGTGCTAGCGGCAATCGCTCCGTGGTCCTTGCGCGATAACTCCCGACACACCGTCAAAAGTTATCGACAGTTGCCAGCGTTGTTTTGCCTGCCTCCCGCCTGCCTGACTGCTCCTGGTACTGCCAGCGCTTTCGCTGCACGCTACGTCACAAGCACGCGGTCGTTGCAACACAGATACTTTTTTACAACATCGACTCTAGACACTTTTTAATGCACAACAAGCGCTTAAATAGCTGATTAGATGATACGTGGTCAGCAACATAAGGTGCTATGTGAGGACATTGTTTAGTTTTAGAAACTGATTAGAACACACAAACAAGCGTGATTTGTAAAATACCTCAGTTGTAGCGCATCGCAACTTCGTTGCGATTCTTTGCAAATTACTTGTTTTGGGCCGCAAGCAAAACCAAGCCTTACAAAATCGTATGGCGCACGCACTTTTCTGCTAACACATAGCAACTGTTATTCCGTTTAAACTATACTGTTTTAATACTAATGCCGCTACAAGTTCTTGCCTTTTTCGCGTGTTTCAATTGCTTAAACGAAAATTAATTTACGTGTGCTTGCGCTTCTGTGTTTTGTGGTTCATGAACGATTCACCAACTTGCGAGCGGTGGATTCAGTAGCTCATGAAACATCAGAATCGCGTAGCAGAGAGCTTTTTGCCATGCGCTCAACCGTGCTTACGCATCCCTCGTTTGTTCAATAAAGTGAATTAGTTCGTTTATTTATTTTGTGAACAAGTCTGTGTTCGCAATTTAAATAAAGTTATGAATTTAAGTAGTAGTGGTTTAAATTTGTAGATACATAGATTAAAATTACGAAACTTTTAGATATGTTTGAAGCAGGCAAAAAGTGCTTTTAATTTTATATGAAAAGGGAATAACAATTACTAAATCAATTTAATAGTTCAGCTTAGTTACCAGTTCGAATGAGCGAACCGTCGCAGCTCACCGAAAATTGCATTACCGGTGCAACAAAAAACAATAGCTTTTAAAAACTGTTTTCCTTATTATATAAACTGAAAACAAGCAAATAATATATGGACGCTCAGCAGATGGCTTGGGTAATTGTAGACGCTGTAGATAATATTTGTACTGTTCTAATTTCAAACTCAGCATCAAAAATAAAATTTAATCCACAGGAGAGCTGCTGCAATTCAAAGGATCCTTTGTGCAAAATCTACATATTGGAAAGGGACATTACCTAATTACTGTTTTGGCCGAATTGGCAGGAAACGTCAATGTAATTCGGGAAGGATTTAAATTGCTCAGCATTTGAGTGACACTTTTACGTAAAGTTTTAAGGACTAAGTAATTTATACTCGAAATCTTAATTTTACTGCTGAAATCTGAGGTTGCTGCAGTAGTAGGTCAATAAGTCCTTTTCACTGAGCAAAATAATACGTACATACATACATACATACATACAAGTATGTATGTGCATACATTTTCTCTGGTGCTTAATTACGGTGAAAGGATTTGCATTGATTTACGCATTGCGCATTTGTTTTAAATGATTTGGCCACATTTATTTTGTTGCCTCCGCTTAATTTTTAATTTACGCGTGCACGCTGAGCTATAAATTATGCTGCATTTGTAAATTAAAGATCAAATATTTAAATTTAAGTTAAATAATGTGAATATTAACTCCAAACTGTGTTCTGTTTTTGCTATGATTTTCATAAAATAGGCCTACGCAGCGTGTGTTTGTTTATACGCCCGTTGATTTATTGCTCAAATAAGCTGAAAAAATCAGCGTGATATACGAGTAGTATGTTTGTATGTATGCTTGTATACCGTTTGTGTATAAATACATACATACGTATGTATCTATTTGCATAAGCTACGGCAGACATTTGCGAGTATTTTATCATTATTGGCTTTATGATGTCAATTCATTGAAATGCCAAGCATTCCAATTTACACCACTCAATAGGCAATTGGGAATCAAATCTGTTGCCCCATTGTAGTTTTTATTATTAATTAACTAATATTGAACCAACCAAAAAATTGTCCAGTTGGAATCGTAATTTACAGCTAATTAAAACTAAATTATAGCGACAATAATTTATTTTTGAATACAATATGCACTTATTAAATGCTAATCGACCACAATGTGGAATGGTCCTGTCTGCCTGGCAGTTACTCTCACAGCGTTATCCTAGTACTCAATTGAGTTCGTATATGTCATTGTAGCCGACGTTGTCGCGTCGACTACGAGCGGCATTTCCTGGGGTGCCACCCTGTCCACGGGCTCGGAGAGTCTGTTGGCGATATCCGATGCCCGACTTGTAGTCTCCGCCATTCCGGAGCCTGGTCAGCGTACCGAAGCGCTTTTGGGTCTGATGATAAGAGGCAATGTCTCCGTAGCTATGCTTCGGCCACATACACTCACAGCCGGAGGGCACCGTGCGCGTCTCCGATTCCCAACAGCCGGATCCTTCATCAAGACGTATCAAGTGTATGGTGCGATTAAGTTGGATGCACGAAAAGCCTGTGGCGGAGCAGATCTGCCAGTGTAGCATTTAGTTAGTGTGTTCATGCATGTATAAAAAATAATGATATTGTTTAGGACTTACCTCACGCTTCTCGCCTGATCCCTCCGCCCAGAGTGCTCTCAGAAGTGTCAGGTCATTGCTTCTATACTTATACTCGTAGTTGTTGTTGCTGTTGGCCCGTATTGGCTGTGGCACGTAATTATGAGCACATGTGACCTCCACATAATGATTGGGTCGATATTGACCTCTTTCCAGTTTAATGGTCACCCGATTCGTTGGACATAATGACTGGTATGTAATCTGTCAATTAATAAATTTGTTTCTTTAGATTACCATAGATTCCCATCACATTACTGATTAAATCTAAAAAATATATCGATCTCGCCTATTGCATATTTCATAAATATAGTATTCTTTCACCTTCTTTTAATGTTGCAGGAAAAAATTGCCAACATTATTCTTCAATTATATGGAACAAGGCAAAAGTTGAAAAAATAATTAACTATTATAATTAATAGTTTTCTTATTTTAACAATCCAACTAAGTATAGCCTCACTGTATTGAAGTTAAATCTTTAGCAGCTGCCTTGCAGAATACTATCTTATGTGCCTACTTTTGAAAATGGCTTTTAAAACTAATTACTTAAGATAATGCTATTTTCTTTCTATTTTTTCTATTTTTATTCTTCAATTATATGGAACAAGGCAAAAGTTGAAAAATTAATTAGGATCCCTTAATAGTTTTCTTTTTTTAACAATCCAACTAAGTATAACCTCACTGTATTGAAGTTAAATCTTTAGCAGCTGCCTTGCAGAATACTATTTTATGTGCCTACTTTTGAAAATGGCTTTTAAAACTAATTACTTAAGATAAGGCTATTTTCTTTGATAGTTTTTTTTTTAAGCCTAAGGCCAACACATTCAAAATCTTTCATAAAAAAGGTCTTGCTCGTTTAATGGGCTATTATTTAAAATATTAAAGATTTCTAGGCAAGGTAATTACTATGAATGAAGATAACCGAGTTTTCACTTTAAAATAAAACACGTATTAATAGCATTGCAAAAACAAGATAAATTTAAAAACATATGCAATATTTTAATGCCGAAACGTGTTGATAAAGAATCTATGATGGAGAAAAAAAGGAGCTGACTGCACTTTTGGCTCTGTATCTCTGTCGCTATCATGTACAAAATTCCAGATTTCTTCTCTGTGTGTACTTACACCATCGTTCCCAGCATTGCCAGTATGGTGGGGTGGAGGCATGACGCTGCGGACCAGACGCTTGCGCACATTTTGGATGCCGTATGGCAGCTGCGAGCTCAGCTCATCAGCGTCCTCGCTATCAATGTCATCTGGGAGATCGTTGAAGCTAGCATTGTCCGCCACTGCGTAATCCTCCTCGCCCTCCACATCGATTCCGTCATAATCATAGTATTCTGGCTGACCTCGTTCGCTGCAATTTCACATGCATAGAAAAGTTAAGCGCGTCAGTCAGCGTTGGCAATGAATTCACGCCGTGGCGTATTTCACGCTCCGCAGCCGACGCCGCCACAGCCGCAGCAACAGCCGCAGCCAGAGGCAGTCAGCTGGTGCCGGAAGCAGTTGCGGCTGACTGCAAAAAGTTTTTTTAGAGAACAAAAATAAGTTTTTGACGTTTGTTATTTGCATGGGACTGTACACAAATATATTCCTTCATTCCATTTTCTTTTTTTTTTTTTGTTGCTTAACAAAAGCGCATCATTCCGCATTCAACTGCAGCAAATGCCAATGAATTTTTTAGCTTTCGTTTTGTAGCGTTTTTTAGCCGCGGGAGCACTGAAAAAGCGGAATGGCGCACCCAAAGCTTCGCCGTTATGCGACTCTGCCCGTAGCTGGCAACGGATTTCCTTTTTCCTTGTCGAAGCTTTGCCTTTTGTCAGCCAACACCCCATACTCGCCCCCCATTTTACCAACATATTTTAAAACGCAGCCATCCAAAAAACATATAATCCATTAAAGCCCGGCTAGATAGTTTTGTCGCAAAGTTGGCAGAAATGTTTAGAAATTCGACGTTTGTGGAGATTGAGCTTCTGCTTCAGTGAGATTCAACTTGAATGCTCCAACGCAATTTCACTTATGAAAGTACACAATTATTAACATGTGTATAGATATGGATGTATTTTAAAGATCCAAGAGCCAAGGAGCCAATCTGGCGGAAATGAATTTATCATGAAACCAAAGCAATTACTTTAATAATTAGTGTTGACATTTATTATTAGTGACATATGTATAAAATTTGGTATCTTCTGTCAAAGGTCATTAATTGATAGTGAAAATTACGTTACTAAGAAATATAATTTTTATTATTGATTTAATGGTTCTAGGTTATTATTAGTGGGAGAAGATTTGTTAGCACCTCCTAAAAGCCATGCCATTACATTTTTTAGTGAGTTAAGTTTTTGATCTTAACGTTTCTTTTCAACTCCTTTGTCAGTTGTGTATTGCATTTCATCGCATTCACAGCATCTCTAAAATAACGGCATCTATCCCCTGTTTTATTTAACGAGTAATTGCGATCGATTACAAATATATGTAATAAAACTTGATAAAGAACATTTAAACTGTAGCTATATCAAAAAGTCAGCCATAAGTAGAAGGTGCAATTGGTTATTAGAAGCGGTTTAGTCAAAGGTGTTATCAATTATTATACGCATACAAAATTTGTTGGTTTCTATGCGAAATTTCCATGATTATTTATAGACATTTTAATGAAAAACAAATTTGTTATGTAACGAACATTTTAAACATTGATAATATTGAATTGATATTAAATAAACTTAACACCTAACAGTACCAGTGTTTTGTATCTTTCGGCACAAATACATATTTGAAATTTTATGAATAGGGAATTACTTTTGCCACTAGTTTCTTACCTCGTCAAAAGCTTTCTATATTATTAAGTATAATTAGTATTCAAATTTTACTTTGTACTTAATGTTTTTTCCGCATTCGCTGAAAACTGGTTTGTTCGGAATTAAGCTTGAGCAGATGATGATGAGACAAGCTGAGAAGTTGCTAACAATTCATATAGTTGATAGCTACCCATTGAGCAGTCAACAAGTTAAGGGGACAATTCTGCGCAGAACAATACTCTTTAATTGTATCTAATTATATACACAACTAAAATTTCGACTATCAGAAACTAACATTTTAAAAATATATTACAGGAAGGATAAACAAATTTAATAAAATTTCAGAATTGGTTACGTAAGTGAAATATTTTAACTTTGATACCCAGAAGTGCTCAAGCCTCGGCTAGGAATGAGAAAAATCATACATAGTCGAATGTTATACTTTGAACACAAACGTACATATGTACATATGTACGTATCTTATTATTAACTGCATACAAATTCCGATTGGTATCAGAAATGTGAAGGGCTCGCGTTGGAGGTGGAACTAGTCGCAAGTTTTAAGTGGCACAGTTTATCCTACAACTATTAAGATGAATATATACACACAAAATTATAGAAAGACTTATATTCTGAAGAGGAAAGACTTCCATTTATTTAATTTCAACTTTGGTTGTCAAATGTAGACTCTTAGCCAACTGATGATTTTAGCGCATTCGCAGACGCGCCTAATAAAATTGTGCCTATATATTCATACTTGACATACGTGCCATTGGGACCGGCTGTGTATGTTGTAAGAAGTGTTCCCCCCTGAGTAGGATACACTTGATTGGTATGACCATTGACTATAAGGACGTCTCCATCAATCAATTGCACCTTTTCCTCGCGTGCGCCACTGTTATATAAAATGCTGAGAGTATAAAGAGTAACGAAAAAAATTAGTTATAGTCTGTTCTTTATCATGTTTAGTATACCTGAGAGTGTACGAGTTTTTGTCTTCGGCCACCTTTAGCTCGACCCCATCGGATGAAACATTTGGTATATGCAGCTTTTGCAGAGGTGCTGTGCATGCCACCCTACAAAGCAATACGATACACAACTGACAACGGAGTTAAACAAAACTGCTTTAACAAGTAAAGCCGAACTTACTAAGCAGTAAAGATTTGCAGACATATCAATAGGTGAGAGACCTGGTAACGACTAACCAACCTTAAAAATGAAGCGTAAATTATTCGATCTATACCAAAAACATTGACACATTCCGACTAGTTCGACCTGTTCCCGAAGCGAGCTGAGCATGTTTTTTTTATGTCAATCGGAATTTATACATACGTAGCTTTGTGTTCAAAATATGACATATGTCTAGGTGTGATGTTGCTAAGTTGCTTGTCGCGCTTAAACCTTCAGCAAATCATCCAAGTGGACATTTCCCACATACCTAATTACCTATTATTTCCAAAAGCTTGGGCATTTTTATGACTAGTCGGCTATTAAACCTATATAATTGTGTATAATTGAAGAAGAGAACAAATCAACTGATAGTGCAGAACTGCTTTGTTGACATGTTCAGTGTTCGGTGGAGAGCTACCAACTAGTATGCGAATTATTACTGATAATTCCAGCTTGTCTCATTATCTAAAAGCCCAAACACAATACCGTACAAACAAGTTTTCTTTTGAAGCTTTCAAGCGAATGCGCATAAAAGTATGAAGAGAACAAAGTAAAGTTGAAACCCTAATTATGCACATCAATTAAAAAAAGCATCTTCACGAGGTAAGCATTTTAGTGACGAACATAATTCTGCAACTCTAAGTTTTCTTTCAATAATACTTGTAATAAATAAATAAAGTTTCGCTTCGCGGCGAACACAATTTTTATGAGTAAAACATTTTTAATACATTTACTTGAAAATAATGTTGGCTAAAAACGCTCGTGTCAACGAATTTCAACAACGTTTGTATACTATATAAAGTATAATATATATATAGGAACTTTATATGCTTGTATGTCGAAACGAAAAATCATATATACTATATAAAAGAATTTACAATTTGCATCAAAAAATCCGCAATGGCTTTTATCATTGAGCTTGCAACAATGTTTTTGTTAGATTACATTGCATCACAACTTGCATAACAACATTGGCATGGAATTGGTTTGATCCGTGATTCTGAGAAGGGGGAATGCACAAAGAAGAAACGAATCAGCTTAAGGGCTTACGATTACGTTCACAATGACGTCAAGGCATTAAGGAGAAACCCAAAAAATATGACATGGGAAGAGTGACGAAAAAGCGATTCGGAGCTATCCGATGTTCATGTCAGTGTTGAGAGAGGGGGTGATTCAATTCATTCTATGAAAACGAACCATATACGTTTTCAAAAAATTTTACTAAAAATTAGTACTATTTATGAAGGATATGGGGGCATTGTCCGCTCCCTCATGTCCTCATGGTATCCATTGATACTCCCTTGAAGATAGTCATAATCATGGCTGGACAGACCTAAGATGCAATCAGAACTTAAACAGGCAACGAACACAAATTCACACATACATACATAGCACCAATCGACACACACACACACACACACACACCTATGTACATGTAATGCTGCATAGCTAATTTTTGTTTGTGGTTTCACTTTTTCATCGTTTCATCATTTTTGATTGCCTACCTTTGTACGTTGCTTTGGCTGCGGCGCTTGTCGAATGACAAACTTTGTTCCTGTTGCTGGGACGCATTGTCGTTATTTTTGTTGTTGTTGTTGTTGTTGGCATTGTCATAGCCAGCCGGCTGCCCGGCAACAACAGCAGTACCCGCACCTTTAACGGCCTCATTTAAGTCAGACAATCGCAGACGGAAGTCATTGCGAGCATCCTCAGGATCATCAACAAACTGGTGCTGTTCTTGTTGTTGTTGATGTTCATTTTGCTGCTGTTTCTGCCGTGGGCTGGCACTAGTATATATGCTCCTGGGATTTCCGTACGCTTTTTGTTGCTGCCATTTTGTCGACGCTTTGTTGTTGTTATAGTTTTCATTGTTCCTCCAGTCGCCGCCATTACTGTTGCTATCTCCAATGGCATCAAAGCCATAGCTATAGACATAGTCATAGCCATAGTTGTTGTCGTAGTCATTCTCCTTGTTATTGTTGTTGTTTTTGTATCTATTGTTTTTGAGCGCAAATGCGCCCATTGGCGCCGCTGCCGCATCATCAATGTCCTGCTGCTCGCAGGCAAGCGCGAGAGAGCGTTTGGAAAAACTACAAAATGTGGCAGCAACAATAGCGACGACAAGCAACTGTAAATGTGGCAAAGATAAAAGCAAAATACAAACAAAATGCATATTAAGAATGGAGCAGCAGAGTGAAATGTTAAACAATTACATTGTGGTGCTAATATCATTGTTGTTCAAATAGTTTTCGATAGTGCTTTGTGAGTGAGTATTTGTGTGTGTATCCATACGAGTGTCGGTGTGTTGGAGCCCTTTCATGGTGACCGCTTTTGAATTAGCTATTTGAATTTATTGTTGCAGTCAAATCTATAAAGCTAATGTCCATTGTTTTCGACTGTCGAGCAACAGGTGGCGCTTTGTTACGTTGTCGGATTAGCGTTATGGTTGGTTGGTTCATGGAATTTTATGTGCTATTACCTTTATGGGATATTAATTTTAAAACGTAGTTAAAATACAAAATATATACAAAAATCTTGGTTTAGGTTTGTATCTAAACATAATTAATGACCATTACGAGACGAATCGATTAGCCATGTATGTACATCTATCTGCATGAATGCCTGGATTTCAGAAACGGCTGACATCGGCCAAACTTGGTAGGTAGGCTACATAATACCCAGGCAACACGAGTTTCTTTGAATTTTTTGAATTGAGTAAAGCGCAGCCAAGCATTTGAATTTTTATTACAAATACAGCTATTATTACAGTATCAAATGTTGTATGTAAAATTGATTTCTTCTTTTAAAAGCTTCAGTTATAGTAAAATATTTGAACTATAAAATGCCAACTAATCGACCATTAATTAAAGTAAAAAAGTTATGACGAGAGTCTTTGTAACTCAAATAAACCGAGACACAGACAAACTTAAACACCAGAAACGACAGCTGCGTAAACTTTTTACTTTTCTAAAGTTCAATTCCCTTTCGCTTGGGAAGTGCCGTTGACAATCAATATCAGTACGATGGGTCGACCCCAAGGCATTATGTCCAAAGAAAAACCAAACCGCAACCAAACCCAAACAACTTGCAAAACTTTTCATCAAGTGAAAGCCGTCTGTGCACGCGCCTATTTGGCGGTTTTTGGGAGTTAGACATCGTCAGCGGTAAAATGCCCAAGACTTAGATTGTGTTTGTGTTTCTCACAGTGAGTCCAAAACGAACAAAATTAGTTCAACTTGTTGTATTTACATTTATCATAAAAATAAATAAATAAATATTAAATATATCATTTATGAGGTGCATTTATTTAAATTAGACTTTATATTGTGTTTGCAGATTCATTACTAATCAGTCAAGAAGCTCAAAACTATAGGAAAACTTACTTCGATAACTTCTTATTTATTGACAAAATGGTAATATTTGGGTTAGAAATATGAATTGTGAATAGAACACAATGTTACGATGGTGATTATAAAATGATATTCTTATTATATGTTGGCACTCGTATTATCCAAAAATAAAATGATTTTATAAATTGACTTTGACGTCTTCTTTAAGAGAAACAGGTATGTATTTTCAAAAAAATTAATGTCTGTTTAGTCCTCTAAAACGGCAAATCCCCCGAAAGTGAACAAATTTCGGACCGAAGTCGAAAAGTAGGTATTTTAATTATTTATTCGCATATTTTTTGTTCTACTTTCGCATTTGTCCTATTTTTATTTACGTACTATCACACTGTCCTTGTTTGATGATGTGCGTTAAGACAAACAGTGCCTCGAGTAAAATGCTGCGCCGAATTAGGTTGGCCGGCATTAGTTCTAGTTCGAGTTCTAGTGATAATATGCAGCACGCGCGCCCAATAGGTTGACACATACACACCCACACACGCTCGCATAGGCACAGGAAGGATAAAGATGGCAAGGCGCATTCATTAGAGCTATGGATACGTGACCAAATAGTTTCTTCTAGGGCTTCTTGGTCTTAGGAATTGGGATCACAGGTGGATTCGGTGTAACCCAAAGCATTTGATTTAAAGTTCAGCGTATGTTTTCTTAAGCTGCTTGTCTAAGTTAACGGAATTTTGGTTTTGGCCTCAAACCGAACGAATTTTGGGTCAATTTAAGATTGTTTCAAAAGTCTTGTGTTGCCGCTCTATTTACATTGGCTTTGTTAGTGGTTTCATGTGAAATTTATCAATGTGCTTTTACATTACTAATTGGATTAGCCTTTCTGCATTTCCCAGCTGTTTCTGTTGGAATGTAGAGTAAATACATTTCGGCAGAAACATCTATATTTATATTCTACATTTGTTTTCTCTATGTTATGGTGCAGATACATACGTGCAGGAGAAATAATCAGTAAGCTCAACATATGATTTGATTTCGATAATTTTAAACATATTTTATAATAATCAATCGGAAATAATAAAAAGGCTTAGTGGACACCGTGTAGGATATGGGAAAAGACAAAGGTACTCTAAGCCTTATTGATATAATATTTTTCCAAGGGGTCTTAAATACTCAGCTTGTTTGTATGTCAATGAGAAAAGCGCTTCAAAAAAAAAAAAAAAAAAAGGTTTATGCCACCCAATTATTTACTACTACTTGCTACTTATTTACTCTGAGTTAAAGGAGTTAAACTCAATATATCTAAATAATAATAAATATTAGTATTTTATATATAAAAAAAATCTATGGCTTGCTTGCATATTATTGAACATACTTGTATATTATTCAGTTGGTCACCTTTTTCATATTTCTGCAACTATTGATTATTTACTTATGAAGATATGAATAAAACATGATAAAAAAAAGTATTCTACAACTTGTTTTGTTTTTGACATTTCTGCTCTTATACATCAATATATGTATATGTTTTTTCACGTTGGTGTGTTGCGTACAATTAAACAAGCAATATTCACTATTGAACACTGATGACAGATACACTTGCCTCCATGCGATGCATACATGCCATATATGAAATACATATTGCATAAATTTGTAACCTTTGAGTTTTCAATTGAATTTTGCTCACGGCAGCAATTGTACAAAACTTTGTCCTCATAACAAAAACATGCACAAAAAATATACCAACAAAAAGTAGGCGACAAGCACAACCTCACACCATTACCAATTTGCATATATATGTATGCACGAAGATGTACATATATTCATATTGGCGAACTTGCAAAGGCCAGAGTGGGCCAATACGTGCCCACAAGGCTGCCATGAAATCGACAAAAAAAAAAAAAAATGGCAACAGCAACATGAAAATTGTACATTGCTCTTTTTCGATTCGTTTTAATTGTTGCTCTCACAGAACAGGGATTGTTGTTGTTGTTGGTCCCCCAATTGGTTAGCCCGTCTGCTATTTTTGCTATTCGAAGTTGTTCTTTGCCCGTTGTCGCAGTTTGTTGCTGCTGTTGCTTATGTTTGTGAGTGTGCGTGTTTGTGTTGGCCAATACATGCGGCTGACGATTATTGGCAATTGTCAAATATTAGTTTTTGTTATGTTTTCATCAATGCAATGAAGCGATTTTAATTAATTTCAAAGTTTGCCAATTTGAAAGTTATAACGCTTGTTTGTGTTCTCATTGTTTTTCTCTCATGGTCTGGGCATCATTTCCCATTCATAAAAGTTTATTAAGTTGCCAGCTAAGCATACTGCCAATATTGCTCTGCACTTGCAGCTGAGTGACAATTATTGCTCTAAAGATATTTAAGGTGAGTTTTGGTGCACTTTTAATTTAAATTATTTTCTAAAATATGTGCATGCATCACCGGCCGAATAAATATTAGTCATTCTCTTAAGTAAAATGAATATTTTGAGAAATCCGGAATTTATATTTTAAGCTCCGTCAGCTCAAACTGCTAGTATACGAAGAATTAAATAAAATGTATCATGATTGCTGAAAAGGTAATGCTTTACATTTTCATTTGATCTATCTATGGAACGGGTAAGCTCTTTGTATATTATATGTATTTGTAGGTTGTTATGTTGCTGGGATACCAGTAAATCGCAGTAAAACGCAGTTCGCTCACCACTATACTTTTTTTATGTGCTTACGAAGCATGTTTTGACAAAATCTCTCATTATATTTATAAAAATGCATAGACATACATACAAGTACATTCATTTACATCTACATATAGTTCATATGTGTTCGTCTATAGTTTGGTCAGTGATACCAAATCCTGTTAATAACCTTCCTCAGCAGCTATGCTGCTTATTTTATCCCGTCTCTTTGCTCTCTTCTCTGCTGTCACCGTACCTGATACACACATGAGTTTTTCCACATGCAACGACTTTGACTTTTTGGGCTCTCTTCAGCATGACCTCTAATGCTGCAATTAGTGGTTGCTGTGGCATTTGGCTTCTGGTGTCCTTTGCCTTGTGCCATGAACGGGCTTGTCGGCATGCGGCCCAGCTTAGACGAAGCTCCGATATATGCAGAAAAACGTTGTGAATGAGTATTTCGGACACACTGCGAGTAAAACTATTCTTAAGCTGAACTGACTTTTTATGACTCTTGTATGTGCGCTTTATCACAAATTATATGCCATTGTTGGGCAATCTGTTCAAATGTTCTTAGCTTTCTGATGCGGAACTTTTTTGCACTTGGCTTAGCAAATGCTGCAATCTTTTAATTCCAATATTGACGCTTCCACACAAAACCTAGTAGAGTGCATTTTTCAAAGACTACTTTAACGTTTCCATTGTCTGCGAAGCTATTGTGTGCTTGCAGCAAAGTTCGAAAGCAAGTATTACAAATGGCATGTTTTTGATTAGAAAAACGAGGAGAGGCTCCACAGCAAAAGGACGTTTACGAGTCATGAGCTCTGCTGTTTGGCCCGCATCCGTGCTTCTACAATTGGCAAATAATACAATGCAGCTGACAGCTTTCCTTAACAGTCGCTTCAGAAGCATGCACATATGTATATATATGCTTAGACACATATGTGAGATTATTAAAGATATGCGTTCTAATTCAATTGTATATAATTATTCTTGGAGTTCATTTGCTATGTCTATTATTTTCACGTTTATAAATGGTACATGAAATATATTGAATTCGGCAAAGTAAAGCAATTAGATAGAATTTATCTTTAAGATAAGAGCTTAAAAGATCTAACATCGTGATGAAATTAAGTGAATATAGTATAAACTAGTTTAGCGTAGAGTTAGCAAAGAACATTTTGACTTAAAATAGTTGCAACATCCTACAAGAATGTGTAGAATAAGCCTTGTTTTCTTCTCATGGATTTGCCTTTTATGGACCCCGCATTGCTTTGATTTCCAACCACTTATTGACTGTTATGT